TTGGTGTAAAATGTTCTCTGTATACATAAAAGAAAAGATACATTCGTCAAGAGTTAAGAATCATAAGGTACAATACTTAATAACAGTCATAGGGTACAATAAGCAATCAAATCATACTAGGAAACAGTCAATATAAATCGTAAGGATACAAGCGACAAAGTTACAGTCATACAGTCACAAGTTGGAGGGGAAGGGTGATAAGGAGTGATGAGAAGATTAACAGTAATAGTAGTGCAGACTTTGTAAATAGTTGGACAGTGTTGAGGGGATTATTTGTTTAGCAGAGTGATGGCATTCTGAAAAAACTGTCCTTGTGTCTAGTTGTGGTGTGCAGTGCTCTATAGCGTCATTTTGAGGGAAGGAGTTGAAACAGTTTATGTCTGGGATGTGAGGTGTCTGTAAATATTTTCACAGCCCTCTTTTTGACTTGTGCAGTATACAGGTCCTCGATTGAAGGCAGGTTGATAGTAATTGTTTTTTCTGTAGTCCTAATTATCCTCTGAAGTCTGTGTCTCTTCTGTTGGGTTGCAGAACCAAACCAGTAAATGCATTATAAATATTTTTTAAAGCAGGCAATGGATGGATTTTTATGATTGCTTTGCTATAAAGGGATTCAGGTGCGTATTAGGTTGAGGACATTAAAAGCGGGGACTCTCAGCCTTAGTAATTGTTCTCAAATAGACATGTTGGCTTTCTCTACTTTAATACTGCAAACTCCTCCCAATTCATTTTACAAACATATATATCTGGAAGATCCCAGTGTCAACTTCCAAAATGGCGTCAGTCGAAGCCATGCTTATCTGTGCTGTTTCTTAGTTGTCACACGTGGGGAGTGGAAAGTGGGACAGCAAGAAGAGAGATGAGGGATGAAACACAGAGGGGTTTGAGGAGTAGGGTGTATTGCCTAGCTGAACGTAATAGTGACCAGTTCCAACACAGAGAGCAAGGTCATAATGCCAAACAGCTGCTGATATCGAGGGAGACATTGCTATTGATTAACCTATGTGACCAAGAACATCTGGAAGGGACGGGGAGTTGCAAGCCTTGTTATGTTACTGAAGGATGGAAATCCTGTAGAGCTATGGTAGCTTCACTTCACTAAGTGAAGTGCCAAGCCTATGTACTCAATAAAGGGTCTTTTGAATCTACCTGGTATATAAGAGTTCTGATTGAATTGGATACATTGCTTGGAACAGTGACACCCAGGTTCGGAAAGCCTAATCTAAATGCTTCTATTAAAATAGCATGCATAATTTATTTCTAAAATCCATTTGCCTAATTGTTGATATCAATTTTTTTTGAATCGATGGATTGCTTTTAAGAGATCGCATAGATAGATAGATAGATAGATAGATAGATAGATAGATAGATAGATAGATGTCCTATGGATGCCTATCCTCTATCATTCAGCAGTGTCTTATTTCCCAACCAATTACCAACGCGATAGGTCATTCCATTACTCGCTGGAAGAGAAAGGTTTGCCCACCAACTATCAGAAGTAACAGGGACTCTTCTCTCAAACTGATGCTCTTGCTCTTGATCTCAATTATGAGTGGACTGGAAATCTGATTGCCTCATGCTTTTCTAGGACATTGTATGGAACATTTTGTTACAATGAATAGATGAGCTCTTCTTGGATAGAGGCCAGTTTGCACAAGTTGTTTGCATGAAAACTGATCCTGTTACAAAGAAAAAAAACCTACCCCAACAAGTAGTTACAATATCAAAATAATAGTAATACAATGGTATGCTCCAAAGTTACCACAGGAAGATGTTATTTGCCACACCCTTATTATTCCAGCTCAAGGTGTACACACCTCTGCCAATCCAAACAGCCCACTCTTGAAACTTCTAATCAAAGAGATTAGAAATTAAGAAGTTTCTTCCTTTGAAACATGATTTATGGGTAAGCCATATTGAATGAGTTATTATTTGCAAGGATAATTCTTCTTTCAGACTAGGATTTCCAGTGAAGATATTAACTTGTCTTCCATGGAAATTAAACTGATATAAAGTAGTCCTACATTTAATATAAAACATATTCTTCTTGGATTGATGGGTAATAACAGCTTCTCTCCAGCTGTAGAAAAGTCCCCAACCACCCCAGGAAAGGTAAGGACAAGTCAAACTCATCTCGCCTTGTGTCAGAAATGCAGAAAAGTGGGAATTTATTCATTTAAATTTAAATAGATTAAAATTTTTAATACAACATAAATTTATACAGTTCTAGCCCAATGCTGGGCCACATTGATGGTAAGGATATTTCAAACCAGCAAGTCATTCTATATGCATCAGTCCCAGGGGGCCCTGTAAAAGATGGGTAGTTCTTTGAATAGTGCCATATTTGCAGTACATATCCTTGTCCTCTGTGGTCTTTAGTTCTAGGCAAAACACTGTGCAGTCTGTTTAAACATCTCCAAATTGTCCATTCCTCCTCTGAGCCTCCGGGCAACTCCTCAATCCGTTCTATCCAATTATGAAGATGTTTAACTAGAAGTTTCTATCTTTGTAATTGTTCTTTTTGAACATCTCCTTATCTTTGAGGTGTTTTGTGGTGTAACCATCTCAAGTTCCTTCTTGATTTCAATCTTTTTGTAGGGGGTACTTGGTCAATAATTGGTTTGCTGGATGATGTAATACCTTTCCATAATCCATGTTTTGTGACTTATATAGGAAGCCAGCTTGTTGAAGAATAGTGCCTGGCAGGGCCATTTTGCCAAGATATATAGTTTGTCAACTGGGGAGGAATGCAGGAATGCGGCATGTATCCTAAACATCCTATCCACCTGTGTAAGGTGTGCAAACTGGCCCCAAACAGGGCAGGTGTATTCTCCCACCGAGTAACACAATACAAGGGTGGCCATTCAAAGAGTAATGGTGTGGGTACCCCAAAGCGTTCCAGCTAGCTTTCTGAGGAGATTATTACAGGTAGATATATTGTTATAAATTGCAACAATGTCTTTAAAGGTTAATGTTTGGTCCAATGTAACACCAAGGTAATGTGGCTTTTTGTAATGTGCCACTCCATCCCAGATAATATCGAGCCTCCGTCTGGACTGCCTGTTTTGGGGGATGGAATGCACAGTCATTTCTTGTTTTTCGGTAGTTAGGTTTTAGCCCATTCTCATTGTAGTATTCTGACATATTCTTAAGAGCCAGAAGTTAGTTCCCTGAGCAGTAGGTGCCAAATCATCAGCACAGATGAAAGACAATGTATCAGGACCAATAGGTTGATCATTGGTGTGTATATTGAATAACAGAGGGCAAGAACATTCCTCTGTGGAAGGCCATGTTATTAGGCTCTCCAAAAGTTCTTTTTTCCCTAGAAGGTAATGAAAAATAATCAATACATTTAATCAGAGCAAGATCATGGGCGATATTATATAATTCCAAGAGAAACTTTCTGTGATCGTGTCATAGGCCCCAGATAAATCCACAAAAGAAGCTCCCATGATTAGACCTAACTGAAAGCCATCCTCTTGTGTGCTGGATGAGTTTAAATATCTGGCCTGTGAGGAAACCAGCTTATTGAGGAATAAGAGTTGGTTCAATGACAGGAAATATTTTATTTAATAGAACTCTCTCATAGAGTTTGAAGGAATGGCAAAGGAGGGAAATTGGACAAAAAAAATTCTTTGGGTCGTTCAGTTCTTTTCTGGGTTTCAGAAGTGCAATAAGCTGGGCTTCCCTCCAAATCTTCAGAATATAATTTGAGGCCACACATACATTAAAAAGTGATAACCACCATTGCTTGGCAAAATCTTTATTTGTTCAATATGAATATCATTTAATCCCACACCTTTATCATTCTTCATATCATGAATTGCTGTTTCTAGTTCTTCTCTACCAGAGTGAGGTCAATATACTAGCCTCCTCTTCCACTGCCCTTAGGAACCTGTCACATCAAGCTGACAAGTCAGGATCCTAAAGGCTATAGTTGAAAATTTTAGTTATGATTTTTATTTTCCCAACATTTCCCATTATCAATACTATAGATTTTCAAACTTAGAAAGCTCAGACACGCCAACATTTTTGCTTTAAATTAATTCATTGCAATTGCATCATTCAAACGCATATTGCTGTTTTTGAAACTATCAGCTTCAACTTTCAAAGGGATCTTTAAAATATTTTTAAGGAGAAAAAAAACCCTGAGTCTTAAAATGCTGCCAAATCTTAAAAGTCATATAATATAATATTAGCTTTAGTATGAAGGAAAATGGCAATTCATGAGATACATAAAGTTTCCTAGTTCATAGCAAGAAAGTTGGCTCTCCACTTCAATTTACAACTCACCATCCTTTCTTTTCAACTAATCTGACAGCCTTTCAAAGAAACGGCCTTAGCCACAGGTTAAGTTTGACAACACAACATAAAGCCAGAGATTAGCATCACTGGCCATCCGGTGTGGCCCATCATCAAGATCATTACTATGATATTTCACTTAAAGACTTTTTGTTGTTAAAAAATGGGCTGTGTATTAAATTACTGTTGTCGACTCCTCCCTTATAGAGTTTTTAATTTTTATGAGTGCACCTGCCAGTATTGAGATAATAAGCATGTAGCAATGCATGTCAGCAATTTTGAAAACTTCCCACACAAAAGAGAACTTGCCATATGGCAAAGCCAAAGATGTAGGGAGGACAAAGAACTTAGAATAGAACTAGAAAGGGAGTGATCAGCGTGGTTGGTAACTTCAAGAGAAAAGCCAGACTCCAACCAGTATTTAAAGGACAAACATAGATGCTTCATGGACATGCTGGGAAGGCATAAATTAACTTTAGAATATGGGGATATAATCAGAAGAAATTTTCCTTCAGAAGAAACCTGAAAGGCCTGAAGACTTATTGAGGAAACTAAGGGCCCAAGAGGGAAAGAGATGCTATATTGTGAGTGCTTGGGTACCAGTCAAAAAAGCTTTTATTTGCCTTGGCAGGACATAGAAGAATAACAACAACAATGCAGTGTGCTATTATTGAGTGTTTATTGTTGATTTTATTGCAATTTTCAATTTGCAACTATTGTAATAGACATATTTTAATCTGTTGCAAGTTAATTTGGGAGATATAGTTTGGTGTGTAGTGATTAGGGCAGCAGGTTGGACACTGGGAGAATGAGTTCTAGTCCACTTTAGGCACACAGCAGCTTGGTGACCTTGGGCCAGTCACACTCTCTCAGCACTCGGAAGAAGGAGACAAAAGTAAACCACTTCTGACATCTTGCCAAGAAAACTGCAGGGATTTTACCAGACAGTTGCCAGGAGTCAATGCTGAACTTGAAGGTGCACAAAGTAAATCTGGAGATCCATTTGATCAAAAGTGGAGTATATACATTTATAAAAGGGTCAAATGGAAGTACCTGAATATTTGGACTCAATATATATTACTGTATAAGTAAAAATGAAAAAAGTATGCAGAAAAACCTTTTGAGTTGTTATTCTATAGCAACACCACTTTACATCAATTAGAATAGAATAGAATTCTTTATTGGACAAGTGTGATTGGACACATAAGGAATTATTGGCTTTATAATGTACAAAGGCTATCCCAGGCCTTCAAAGTGGTTGTGGAATACTAAATAATCAATTTCTTTACTATTGTTTTATATAATCGCTGCAATTTTTTTAGTCCTCACAATAAACACCAAAAGCCGAGAATGTGAATGACTGGCGTGGAAGAATATTAATGAAGATAACAGAACTGAGAATAAATGGAAATTCAATTCCCAATGAAAAAGTAGTAATAACTATATATTAGGCACGAGTGGATTGTACTAAGACATCTCCATTATATTAAATTTGTATTTCATTCCACTGTGGATGCTCACGTATTTCAATTGTCATTAATTTCTACACTGTAGAAATTATTTTATGAAATATTAAGCCTCATTTATAAACAAGAAGGTAAATTCTGTAAATGAAGAGCAACACTCTTTAATTGCCCAGATTTGACCAAAGCTAGTATGGTGTAGTGACTAGAGTGTTACAATTCAAGATGCTATCAGCTTTTCAAACGCCTTCAGATAGAAGGCAAGTTTTCCAGTCCCTGGAAGGTGGTGCAAGTGTTTTACATAAACAAAATCTGCACTTAAAATAGCTTTTTTGCCACCTTGGTGCAGATACCAATCAGTTAAATTTAAAAGTGCAGAAGGCAGAAGCAGCATGGGAATCACAACAACATTGGCTCAAATCCAGGAACATTTTATTTCTCTGGAATGGAAACAACTCATCCACTCTGAACATAAACTGCAGGTGGTAATTGTACATTCTCTCTCTTTAAAAAAGAAAAGCAAGTGTTTAATTCCATAAGTTCCTGTCATAAGAAACCACCTTTTAAAAAAATGTACAACAAGCCTTTTTTTTTTTCCTTTCCTTTTTTCTTTTTAAACAAAGCATCAATGTTAAAATGGGTTCACCGGCTTCTACCACATTGTCGTCTGTGTATACCATGCAAAATGCTACATCTGCTTAACACATTTTACACATTAGCATTACAAAAGATTCAAAGGTTCATTGGTTGATTGATATTTTTAAGACATGGATTGTGACACATTTCGTTCCTCCCCACCCCTGGGAACTTATAAAAATAATTTAGTTCAAATGGACTAAATATGGGATTGTGTTCTAGCTTTGTACTTCAGTCAATTCCATAAGCAAGCCAAGCCATTGGCCGCGAAGACCAGCTTGTGTGGTTCTTATAGTCGTAAGGGTTAGAAGTACCTCGGAATTTGTAAGAAGTCCAGCCTCCAAGCAGCAATAAGGAGTCTCTAGACTTCAATGATCCACCATACTCAATGCTCATCCAGTGTCCTCTTACAGATCTCTTTAAAGGAGAATATTTTGTTCCTGACATCAGATGGTTCCTCTCTGTTATTAGTTCCATTTAAATCAGCAGATCTGCAGCAACTAAGAATTAGTTCTGGCTGAGCTCTAAGAGTAACCTACAGCTGAAGAACATCGTTTCAGTCTGGGCCAATTTCACATGGATTTAGTCCTTTGTCCTTGGCTTCTTTGTACATCCTTTGGAAGTCTTTGAAACGTGGGGCACAGCCTAACCTGACCTCCCCAAAGTGCATACTGCCTGTGAAGAGGAAGTCTCCCTCTCCTGGTTTTACCCCACATTGAAGCAGAGTCTTGATCTGTCCTTGCCACCGACCGTTCTCCTCAGCAGAGTTGAAGATCCTTGTTTTCTGCCGGTAGATTCTGTTGATGTTTATACTGATAACAGAATCTTGCTGATCCTCCTCATTGATTACACTTTGGATAGTACCTCTGACAACTAGGAAGAAACACAAGCAAAAAAAAAAACCCCAATTAGATACAGAGCTACCCTGATATCTACTTTTATGTGAGCATTTATCATTGTCTTTAACATATATGGGATTTTGGTTAACAAAATATTTACTCAGTGGGATCCTGGAAGAAAAAGAATAGCAGGATCAGATGTTAAGATTCCTACCCCAAAATAAGCAAATTCTGTTGTGTTCTTAAAATTAAATTCAAAATTAAATACACCATTTATGCATTAAATTATACATTACTGCATTGAAACCTTAAGTTCTGTACATATAATTCTAAGTTTATGCAAATATAGTAATATTTTGAAAGGTTTTGTTCCCTGTTTCAGGTACCTAAAACACACCCAGGAAAAGCAATTTTATAGTTTTATATGAGTACCTCTTCAGCTTCAGCACATTGTTTGTTATTAATGACTCCCCAAACTACAACGTATTAAAATTAAAATGAAAAACAAACATGATGCAAAGTTGGATTAAGAAGTCTGTTTTAAATCATTTTTTCAAAACTAAACAAAAACTAGTAATGTTGCCAAAAATATTGCATTCTGAATATATGAGTTCCTAACTCTCATAATCTCCAGCCAAGACCTTACAGTAATGCACCGAACCAAAGTTTAACTAGCTTCATACGTAAATATCATTAGATATTTCAGAGAATGTTAAAAAGTTAAAAATTAGTGCTGATTTGTAACCTGATGTCCAGATCACAAGTTTTGAAATGTAATATTCCTATAGCAGCCTTCCTCAATGTATTTAACTCTAGGTGTCCTGGGTTACTACTCCCCCAAATCAACCAGATTGAGAACAAATGTGAGACATCAGTTTGGGAAGCAAGGGACACAATGGCTCAACAGTTAAAGACACTGAGCTTGTCAGCTGGAAGGCTGACAGAGACCCGAGCACTGTGTGACAGGGTGAGCTCCTGTTACTTGTCCCAGCTCCTGCCCACCTAGCAGTTCAAAAACATGCAAATGCAAGTATGTAAATAGGTAGCACTTTGAGGGGAAGGTAACAGTGTTCTATGTGCCAGATGACCATAAACATCTTGGACAACACTGGCTCCCTCTGCTAAGAACAAAGAGGAGCACCACTCCCTAGAGTCAAAAACAACCAGACAGGGAAAGTTTTACTTTTACCAGTTTGGGAATTGTTCTGGTATGGCTATCTAATAAGCCTTAATATTGATGTATGGTATGCATCAATCTTCCAATGTAAGTCAAATTATCTCTTCAGTGGAAAAACCAGAAAAATATTGGGAAATTTGGCTCTTTTAGGAATTGTCAATTGTTAAATCATCAGAAAAGAAATATATCATAAACTACCCTTCTTCATTTTTTTGCTAACCAGGTATGTTGGACTACAATTCTGACAAAAGCTGGAAATTTTGGGAAGTGCTAGTCCAACAGATTTGAAGGGCTCACCATTGAGAAAGGTTATGATCCATGTTTAATCTACTACGGCCTACTGCAATCACCTTGGGGTTTAGAGCCACGTCAGTTCTTGATTTCAGTTGTGTCTAAAACAACATTCAATCTATCCACTACAAAAGATCACAAAATAGGGAAACGAGTATTTTCTTCATTAAATGTTCAATCTATGCACTGCAAACATTGACAAAATATAGAAACAAATATTTTCTTCATTTGCATAATGTTAAGAGTTCATCTGTGAAACAAGCATGAAGAAAGGAGCAGTGTTTAGCTTTTGGGAAGTTTCAGAATACAATTGCAAATATCCATGTGTAAAGGAACCTAAAAAAACGAACCAAACCAAAACACCTGGAGGGGACAAAACACCTGGAGAAGACCAGTTTGCCTATTAGTTAAACAGGATAAGCCTCACTATTAAAATAAATAAATGCCTACAACCAAACTTACCCTAGAAATTTAAATCACATTCTATTAATGGCCAGAAACATTTACACTGAATTATTTGGCATTCTGCCCTGAAGAAACACACACAGCAAGCTACCACCTGTCTAGGCAATATTTTCCATCAAGACGGAGCAAGAGCAATCCCACCACAATGTCTGGGTGTTGCATCCTCCTCCCTGTTCAGAATATGCCCCTATTATATCCACAATACTAATAGACTGTATTTATATCTGCAGCACATGTCCAAGACCAGACATGCCCAGCTGTTTCATTACAACATTTACTTTGGATTCCAAGTGTGGGAAAATTTCTTTAATGCTATTTCACTACCATAAAGAGGAAAACAGTTACCCCACTGGTCATACTAAGGAAAACCACTTGTCTCTTTGTGGGCAGACATAACATAAAAAGGGATACCTTTTGCTGGCACAGATCACTGTGTTTATGTCTATTTGAGATCTGAGCATTTCAGGCAGGCAATCTTTGCAGGCAAAATGTACTTGGAGAAAAAAAATACATAATTCTACTGGATCTCTGCTAAGCATACTGATAAAGTCTAACCATATTGTAGCACTTTCTATCCAGAGAGTCTACAGAAGATTTCTATTGGATATCTACGTGTCAAACTATTTTTCTTAATGACTCAGAGAAGGTTATCTGAATTGACTCTGTTTTGCTTTCAGGTTTTATAAAACCCTTCTCCCCAAATGATATTTTTAAAAAGTAACCCTTAATGAAAAATTAGTCAGCGTTTTGGGCCAGTATAAAAAGAGAATATTTTCTATTCCCGAAAAAGTTTCATTTACCGATATTTTATTTCATTCTGTACATTTTGAGAAAGTCCTTCCTTTCTTAAAGGTCAGGAGTCCAGTAAAATAAAAGACCCTGTTGTAATTATTTCCTACAGAACCAAGTATAAACTTCATCTTTAAAAGCAACAACTTCCACAGAAACAGGGATTTAGTTTTTATCAAGGGTCTATTTAGAAACATCAAGAGGATAATTCCTATTACTCGCTCCTAAAAACCTTTGAACTTCCACCACTATTACCACAGCCCGTCTCTTTCTTTGTCCGTGGTAGAAAAGAACTAGCCAAACACAATGATTTAATTGAAGCTCTTCAGAGCTAAAACCCCATAAAGGCTTTTCCTCCCTTGTCCCCTTTGTACTTCTTGGATACACTTTGTTTACTCCAAAATGAGCAGAAAAGGGCTCCCTTGTTGGTTACAATCTGGGGCTTTCAGTTTGTTCACTGTTTGGTGAAGTTTCTGTAGGCCAAATCCAGCAGATTATCACAAGGGAAGAATGGGATTTTACAGAACAACGGTGAACTCAGCAGTTATCCAGAAATCAAGGAAACTTACCAAAGTCACTGGAGCAGACAGCCAGGAGAACTTCCGTGTCACTGCAAGGTCGGCAGGGGGCTGAGAATGAAACAAAGAAGGGCATTTTAGTATCTCAAGAAGGATAAAAGTTCTACCCAGGAACATCTTAAAGGTCAACCTTAATGCACCATTCAATTCAGTCAGCAAATGTGTAGTCTACTTCTTCAGAGCAATATTTTCTATGAAAATGTCCATATTCTGGACATTTCATGTAATGTCATATCCAGAATATGATATTTTCTCTTACAATAATCCTTTGATATCTATCTATATTCTACATGGAATTGTATCTCCTGGCAGAATAGTTCCCTTAAATTGGCAGATGTTAACTTGTCAGGATAAACTTTTAAAATGTAATTCCTCAAGATTCGGCAACCAAAAATTCCTGCAGATTACATATACATTCACAATTCAACATCTTTGATTCTAGGAATTTATTCCAATTATCAGAAATTGCAATAGGAAAAATTATTCCTCATTATCCCAACAAAACTGGTTAGTCCATTTAAAATAAGAACATAAATAAAGATGCAGCTGATAGCCATGCCTTAAGATGTAGTTGAGCCTAGAGGAGACTACAGAGAGGAAGTTTTTAAAAAGAGAGAGAGAGAGTCATCTAGGAAAGAGACAGCAGCTGTTTTGTGCCCTTACACAGTAGCCTTTATTCATCAGCAGTTGCACCACAAGGTTGTGGGACAAAGCCAGAGGCAGTCTACACCTGCATCCCTGGTTTGTGAAGCTAGGCAGAGGTCTGAAGGTCACACTATACATTAAAATACCATGTGCAGCTCCATGTTTTTCCCTTGGACTTTGTCTTAAGCTACAAAGTAAAGACTGTAGACCTGACACAGTTCAGTACCACCGCATATTGGGACAGGGGGGTTAACCTCTCTTGCTTGGGCCACAGTTTCTCTGTGAACGCTGCCTCTTCCTTCAGCATAGTAATTAGTGACTGAAACTAAAGAACCCATTCATGCTTACTTTCTGGCTTAAAAAAGACCAGTCAGCATACATTTTATGCGTTTCAAGCCTCTGAATCCTCTTCCCTTGTTGTGCTGCTTAAAGACTGTTGGCCTAGAAATCAGAAGAGTGTGAGTTCTAGTCCTGTTTTAGGCATGGAAGTTGGCTGGGTGACTTTAAGTTAGTCTTTCTTTCTTAGGCCAACTTACATCAGAGAGTTGTTATTATGGGGACAAGAGGAAAGAATATGAAATATATTTCCTGCCTTGACTTACATATACATATACATATATACATATATACATATATACATATATACATATATACATATATACATATATATACATATATATA